AGTCGCTGGATGCCTTAGCGGGGGCACATTATTTTTCCACATTGGACCTTCTTTCTGGATTTTGGCAACTGCTATTGGATGAGGCGTCCAAACCTAAAACCACTCTTTGCACGCCATAGGGCCTTTTCAAGTTTAATCAGCTGCCCATGGGCCTTCACTCGGCTCCAGCTACGTTCCAGCATCTCATGGAATTGGTTCTCGCTGGGCTCCAGTGTGACTCATGCCTCATTTACATCGGCAATGTAATTGTCTTCAGTCGTAAATTCCAGAAACATTTGGATCATCTGCTGGTTGTATTAATTGAAATGCAAGCAGCTAACCTCAAATTTATCCGGAAAAATGCCACCTCTTGTGGGAATCGGTGCATTACCCGGGACATTGTCAGCCAGTCGGGCATTGCAACTGACCCTGAGAAAACGAGCTGCGTGCGTACATGGCCGACTCCCACTTCTGTGGGAGAAGTAAGGAGTTTGATTGGATTTGCTTTGTATTATCGAGGATTTGTTGCGGGATTTGTGTCGATAGCTAAACCCCTTCATGCTCTGACAGCGAATGGGCAAGAGATCCATTGGGGACAGGAGGAGGAGGCCGCGTTCAGAGCACTTCGAGATTCCCTCGCAAATGCCCCTCCCTTGTGCTACCCTGACACGGCCGTTTATTCTCGACACGGATGCCAGCAACATGGGCATCGGTGGTGTGCTGTCCCAGGTGATTGACAGGGTGAACGGGTTGTCGCTTATGGCAACAGAGTTCTATCTCTGGCAGAGCAACGCTACTGCATAACTCGCCGTGAGCAATTGGACCATCGTGTTTTTTAACCAGCAATACCGGCCAAATTTATACGGCAGGCATTTTACTGTACGTTCCGACCATGCGGCATTACAATATGGCTTGTGAACTGACCAACCATCTGGCCAATTGTCCCGCTGGCTCGAGGTCCTGCAGGACTACTTGTTTCCGGTAACCAACCGCAAGTGGACTAAACACTCGAACAGAGAAGCGCTGTCACGGCTGCCCGCTGGCAACCGGTATGCGTGCTTTTAGGGTTCCAGCCTTTGCAAACAGCCCGTTGTTCATGCGCCCCCCCCCCCCCCCCGCCACTCGCTGCTGCAGCTGAGGTGGCCGTTCCTGTAGGTGGCTCCTCTGAGGGGCTGGACGGTTCATCCACTCGAGATGCATTACTCCATTCATGCCTCGTGGACTGGGGGCGTCTCCAAATGGAGGACGCCTTCCTCCTTAAGTCACACCGCCGTGCTGAGCGACTTAGGAACTTGAAAGTATCGGGAAGGATTCGCGCCCATCATTCTGCGGGAAGGTCTGTTGATGACCTGGGATGGTAGCTCGCGCCGTTATAAAATTGTCGTGCCGACCGCTCTGCGCGGAAAGGCCGTTTTAGCTGCTCACGAGCACCTCTTGCACCTGGGGGTCCAGAAACACTTAGCACGCTGCAGCTCGATTTCTATTGGCCAGGTATGGTGAAATATGTGGCCAATCTGCTCCTGAGCTGCACCCAGTGTGCCAGGTGGAAGCCACCGGCAGGGCATCGTGCCTGCCCCTACAGTCCATCTGCATGTCCCGTGTCAATGAATTGGTGGCGCTGGACATTCTTGGGCCCTTTCCAGCTACCTCCCGAGGTAATAAGTACCTGCTGTTTGGGGTGGAACATTTCACCCGCTGGCCCATGGCCTGGCCAATCCCCAACCAGTCGGCAGCAGTCATTGTGGAGGCCTTTCTCCAGGGCTACGTCCTGGACAAGGGTGCTCCGGAGCGCCTGCTGACCGGTCAGGGAAGGAATTTCTCATCCACCCTGTTGAAGGATGTGTGTAACCGCCTTGGTACACAAAAAGTGCTCACTTCCCCGTATCACCCACAAACTGAAGAGATGGTTGAGCGTCTTCATCGGACACTCATCTCAATGCTGTACCACCAGCTTTACGAGTCGGAACTAGATTGGGATCTCCATATCCCCGGTGTCCTGGACTCGTACAGAATGGCACCCCATGCGGCAATGGGGTACTCGCCATTCTATCTCATGTATGGCCGCAATGTCAATCCCACAGCAGACGTGCAGCAATGCATCAAACCGCTCGCCTCGAAATCCAAACTTTCAGACCACATCCGATTCAATATTCAAAAACTGACCGAGGCACGGGAGGCAGCCAGGGAAAATTCCGGGGGGAGGCAGCTGGCCAACGAGAAATTGCAGGGCCACCGCGTTTCCGAGCACACGTGGGCTGAAGGGGACCGGGCCTGGCTCCATTGTTCCCAGGTTCTCTTGGCAACGCCCCCTAAACTTCTCAGACCCTAGAGGGGGCTGGTCGAGGTTTTCCGAGTCGTCTGCCCCCAGTGTGTTAAGGTACAATGGGGTAGGCAATCTTGGCACGTCCACCCATCGTGTCTGAAACTCTACGTCGCGTCGCGCACTTTCACATCATCTTCATATCGCAGGGGCCGTGGGTGTGACGTGCCCGACGTGCCGGGGTGTTCATATGCAGAACCTAAACCTGAGACGAGCCATCTGATCCCACCCTCAGATGCTACGGGATTGAGGCCTCCACGGCCATCTACGTTGGCCGCCCACGACACCGAGCGCCCACCCACCCCACCAGATGAGGCCTTGATGGGGCCTACCTCTCCTGACCTGCCCTTGTGGGCTGTTCCCCACTCACAACCAGTTTCTGCTGAGCTGCCAAAGAGACCTTGTGGCTCATATGATGATCCTGCTACGCGGACACGACCCAATACCCCCCCGATTTTCATAAAATTCCCGTGATTCCTCACGCCCCCACTGCACTTACCTTTCCGTCGGGTAGGTGTATTGGCTTGTTCTCCTCTTCTCGCCTTGTTCTTTGATCAACGGTCGGTCACTTTGTCGCAGTCGGGGATCGCGTGTGTACCACGGGGTGTGGGCGCTTGTGTGTGTGCCATCAAATGATCTTGTTAATTGTAAATAATGTACACTTGTGCAGGTCGGATGGGGTATTTATTAGGGTCATTTCTTATTTATTGTTGTTGCGTTGAGGCACATGTGGTTGTGGTTTTGTTCGACGTTCTTAAGGGTGGGGGGGGGGGGCTGGCAGCCGAAATGACTGACTGCTACGAGGGGGGGGGGGTAATGTAGTGGTGATTGTAATGTAACACGCCGTCACCACTACTGTCCTGGTGTAGCGCCAGCCATGAGCCAAAATGGGGCAACACCGAGTCCGTTCTGTGCCAGGCAACGCCGTTAAGCTAGGGAACCCAGAGGGCATTTGGGAACCAGAGGTACACACCCCAAGCACCCAGTGGGGGCTGGGAGATTACGCAATAGTCCAGGTACCTCAAGAAAGTTCTAGAGAGTAGGCGTGGCCAGGGGCGGAGGGACCCTGGCCAACGTATATAAGCATTACCTCTTAACGGGTTTGCCTATCATCGTCAATCTAAAGACCCAAAGAGCCAGCTTAAAAAAGGACCCTGGGAACCCCCGGACCCACTGTCCTTTTAAGGGCTGGGACTGAGTGGGACAGTGGTCGGACCCTGAGAAACTCCATTCACAATGTCCTTCTGAGGGCCGGGACAGAGCGGACCAGTGTCCGGGACCCGAGGACCTTAGCTGGGTCGGGTCAGGCTAGCCTCCCCTAGGGCAACTAGCCGGAGGACTGAGATATAGTGTGGTCCCAGTGATAGAGAGCACGATAGCACGGAGGCCGTACCTCCCCAGGTATCGGGTGGAAGGGGCCGTTACCCCTTTGTGTTAGGGACCCTGTACTGTTATTGTTATAAATAATCGTGTTGTCTCCAGTGAAGACTGGGTCTCCATCATTACCACAACATATACTCATGATGATTCTAGTTCATGAGAAATGCTGTATGTCGTGGACGTACAGCTCAGCTGCCGATAACAGGATACCGTAGGAAACAAATGAAAAGCTACTTTGTGTAACTGGGCGAGCGTTAATTGAGACACCCTTTACCTGTTAACAATGGAATCCATGGCACATGCAAGGTGTGAACAGAAACAATGATAAGACGTGTTGCAAAACAGTGTCAACTTAAGTTGTAGCTATTCGTAGCTGATACAATGATATATATGTGATGTTGAAATGGATGAATTTGAAGTTGTTTGAAATAAGACATACATTGTTCTCGTTGAAAAGATAGGGGAATATGACGCGTGCTTTCACAGCTGGTGATGTCACGGCGCGTACTGAAGCAGCCTCACTGGATTTTAAACTTCCCAACCTGATGAAGCCCGAGTCGGGAAGTTTAAATGATGTCGTGAAAAGCCTTAAACTACCTTTGAGCTTTATTGGTTTGAATGTGATCAACACCTTGGCATGTACGAATGGTGTCTTTTTAAAAGTTTTAATTTTGTCGAGTGGTGGGGGCTTAGTAACGAGAATTTTGACAAAGAATCTGGCACGTGGCCAAATCTCTAAATATATGGATCAGTATTCATGTATCTGACTATTCAATTAAAAATAACTAGGGATCTGCTTAATAAAATATAACTTTGGCGATGACACATTTGACTTTTACCTCATGGTATACGTTAATATAGAAATGCAGTAATGTCCTTGGCATAAGTATAAAGGGCAAAGGTGCATCATTGCAATGGATTTATTACAGCACCGCTTGCAGACTCCACTTAAACGACCACTAAATATCCCCTCTAGAGGATAATATATATACTCATGTATGCTTACATAAGTGTTAATTTTATAGCCAATAATTTTAGCTAAATTCTACGAACATAGGCTAGACACAGGGGAAAGCTCTCAATTCCGGAACTTTTCCACAGAGATCGGGATGGTTCCACTATTTGTAGAATTGGTCCGCAAACTGCAGAAATACTCTTGAGCACAGCTGCCACGTTACCCACACACAAATGGCATCATCTCTACCAAGTATAAGATCATAAACAGAACAATATAAGCAACGTCCGTGAAAACAATTAATAAATAGAACCAATATTAACGTGTGGAATCGCTGACTCGCAATTTTTTGTCTCAGGTGGGAAAATATCGACGAGTTTAATGAGACAGACATAAGGCATTGGGTAACGTAGAGATGAGAATAAGGCCATGATATAAGAGGGCTCTCAACGGGTATAAAAGTGGACCATCGGCAGTAGTTCAGCATCATCGTTCAGGATCTTCACTGCACAATGTACGGACTCATCTTCGCTCTGCTCGTGGGCACCGCTGGTGAGACTTTGTGTAACTTCCATTGCTAACTGGTTGCGTAGTGACTGGTTTTTGGTCGAACTGGGACCCATGTCCATCAGAGATGGTCTTTGTACGTATGCTGAACTTATTTCACACCGTACGTATCCATCCGTGCTAATATTTGCCTATAGACATCTGGCAATTTAACAGCATTGGTTTAAGCAGGGCAGACAATGATGGGTATCAGTTTAACACGTGGGCTTTCGCGACCAATATCATCTATAAAAGAGGTTTTTGGGTTAGATATATAATTGTATGGACCAGAGGACGCCTTTGGGCGCCTTTTGGCGTCCACTAGTCTAACAACATTGGTGACTAGGTTCCAAAGAAAGCTGTCTCTGGTGTGGACCAATCAGTTTAAAAAACAATGCATATATAATCAGAGTATGTTTTTGTTTGCATTCTGACCACAATTATCGTGGTTACTGCAGTCATGATTCATTGCAAAAGGTTTCAGTTTGGTGTTTTAACATCTTAACACCTGTTTTGTTGCCAGAAAAAAGGGGAAAACCTATTATAATATAAATGTGTCTTTAAAACCCGCCACCACCGGACACAGCCAACTAGTAAGGGTTGTCACGTAAATGTTGTGGCTTGGCTCTCCGACACACCAGTGTGCTGTACTAGTGACGAATTGCCACGTTCTGTTGACGTGAAAACCCTTACTAGTTGGCTGTGTCGGGTGGTGGCGGGTTTTCACGACACATTTTTAGATTTACGCGATCTAACCCAAAAACCTCTATTATGAATGATGGATAACATTAGTGGTCATTAGGTATCTTAATTTGGCGTAGGCCTCCGCTAGGTTAGCTCAATCGGAAACACTTTGCGCCTCCTATGGTGATGTGCATCACCAAACTAACAGAGGAGAGGAAGGTGTGTTGCTTATTTGGCTGTGCCGGAAAGTTGGTCTTTGACTTACACTGAATCATACCCAAGTGCAAGATGGGGCTAATGTCCGTTTTTGTTCCCAATCGATTCGTGGAAATTCTAAATTCCTTCTGTGGGGCCCATATTGTCCATCAGACAAGAACGGCGATTGACCAAGTGATGCAACATTTCTAGTAACCATAGCGAAGTGATTTTTTTGCTGGAATTGGTCTTTGTAATTATGTTGCTGATAACATTGGTGATGATGATCATCACGGAGACAACAGAGGCGGATCTATAATATTCCCAAGAGGGGTGTTCATGAAATGTCCATACATTTAAATATGGGCTTACAATATCAATACGTTTTTTTCTGGTAAATATCAATAACCAAATTACTTTGCGACTCAAGGGGTGGGAGGGGGTAGCAGTCTTCATTACTTCCCTTGGATTCTCCACTTGGCCTTATACACGATGTCGATGGTCATGATCCTGTTGACGATTATCCTCACGATGAATGTTGGGTCTGAGTAATTGACCGTAGCCAGGATACTAATTCACACTCTGCTTCGCTGACAGCGGCGGCCCCATACATGTATGAGGACCACATCGTGGGTGGCTCCGAGTGCGCTGCCCACTCGCAGCCGTGGCAGGTGTCCCTCAACATCGGATACCACTTCTGCGGAGGCTCCCTGATCTCCAGCGAGTGGGTCGTGTCTGCCGCTCACTGCTACATGCCGTGAGTGTGCTGCACGTGGACATGAGCGAATCTCGTTGCGTGCTGCGTGTCTGGTGGTTTCAGTGAAGTAACATCGACTTGTGTAAAATGCAGTGTACATCTACAACCTGGTGATCACGACCTTATCTGAAAAGAACTTGAAGCTCATGTTGTTGAACTAAGACCTAGCCACAAAACAGGTCCCTGCAGGGTGGGCTGGTAGGAACATTGGATTTCTTTTTTACACCCAACAGCACGAGATTTCACTTCGTTAAAGTATTGAAAGGGGACGGACGGACGGACGGACACATTAATCTATTGCAGGCTGGTACACTCAGTTTACAACTTCGTTCCTACCAGTATAATATTTACTTGAGCTTCACCGATGGGGCAGCAGTGTTACAGCTGGTAATATGAAGAAGCCGATCGTATGATTTTGAATGAGACCCATGCGTACAAACGAGAAAGGGCTATGAACAGATTGCAAAGGTATGCGACATCCTCTTTCCACAACAAGGCGATGTGCCCCAGCAGTTTGTTTTCTTTAGACGATTATACCAAATAGTTACAGCACTTGACAATCTACCACACTGGCCAATTTGGGTTTGTGACGGTGGGAAGTGTAGATATGATGGCATAGAATTACAGTACAACCAATCTTACCATACGTGCTAGTTGTGCCCTATTGATGCTTGAACTTACCATTCGGAACTTGACCATGTACAGTTTTGTTTGGATTGTTTTGTTCGTGTTTTATTGTTATTGCTGTAACCAGGTTTTTATTGTGTGACCAGATCCCCATAAAGGATTAGCATTCCTGGGCCAATGGGTTTTACTTGTGCCAAAATGAAAGCTCCCAAAAAACCTAAAACCTAAATATAAGCGATCCCCTATGAATAAAAATCATCATCACTACTGTCATCCACTTCCTCCACCCCCAGCGCGTCCAGCATCTCTGTGCGCATCGGCGAGCACAACATCTTCGCGTCCGAGGGCACCGAGCAGTGGATCCAGGCTTCCAAGGCGATCCCCCACCCCCAGTACCTCTCAGCCACCACAGACAACGACATCATGCTCATCAAGCTGTCCTCACCCGCCACCCTCAACCAGTACGCGCAGGCCGTCCCGCTGCCCTCCTCCTGCGTCGGCACCGGAGTCATGTGCACCATCTCCGGCTGGGGCGAGACCGAGATCAGCATCGGTGAGGACACGGCGCTTAGACGTCCGACTACCCTGGAAAAGCCATTTAAGGAAGACTTTTTAAATATTTTACAATGTCGGTTTCATGGTTGCTCTGTTTAGCTCTCGGATGTGTTTTCTAGCTGTGCCACGTGGTGTTCATCATGATGTCTAGCGTTTCGCTCTACTCTTTGGGAGTTCCCAACACTACTGATGAAGCGTCGGATGTTATGCCGAAGAGCACTCAGTACAATCCAAAAACATATCAGAGAAATTATTTGATTTCTTCTCCATACAAGCTGACACAACACTTACACATTCTTGTACCATGCTAAAACATTTCATTAAGAAAAAAATGTTAGTAAATTGAAGGGTATAAGTACATGGAACTATGTCTAGTGATATTTTCGTGGATTTTTTTTCAATGTTTATAGCTAAGCATTGAATAACAGGTCTGAGCATGAGTAATGCTTGACCTGGAGTTTAAACTGGACTCAGAGTTGTAACTAGACTTGTCGATATCTGTAATTGTTGTGGTGTGAACTTGTGATTGGCCACTTCTAGGCACAGGCCTCCCCCATGTCTTCCTTTACTTTCTCAGTGTCTGTCTTCATCTGCTTACTTTTCCCCAGGTGTATAAATGGGCACGAGCTACCAACCCATTGCATTGGCTCTGCATTACTGGGACCTTCACGCTGAGTCCACTGACCTCTCTTCTGCCGCCCCTTCTGCTCATGCGTTTCTCCGTCCTCACGTTACCCCAATATGTTTCCCCAGTGCACCAATGCCTCACCACTGCCAACCGCGTGTCTCCATACAGGCCGCTCCGATGTCCTCATGTGCATCCAAGCGCCCGTGCTGAGTGATACCTCCTGCAGGAACTCCTACCCCGGTGACATCACCAACAACATGATCTGCCTGGGATACCTGGAGGGTGGCAAGGACTCCTGCCAGGTGAGGTACCCTGAAGCGACTTGAGTTGATAAGTCTGAATGGGAGTATGAGCGTCGAACTGCCCTCTTGCTAGAAACCAGTGCCACCTCCACCAATCATTCAGATTGAGACAAAGTTAATTACTCTCTCAGCATCTCTTTCATCTAATTCAATATTAATCACGTAGTTTTTTCACAGACATAAAGGTTGGGTACCACGACGTTAGATGCAGGAGCCAGCTGCTAATCCCTGACCCTCTAACCCCTGATGCCGCCACCGCAGAATGACTCCGGCGGCCCCGTCGTGTGCAATGGCCAGCTGCAGGGCATCGTGTCGTGGGGTCGCGGCTGTGCCCTGCCCAACTACCCCGGCGTGTACACCAAGGTGTGCAACTACAACTCCTGGATCGCCAGCACCATGGCTGCCAACTGAGCGACTCACTCGGAAGCCACTTTGCCGAACAACAAGCACCATGATGGTTGTAATGACATGAAATGAATAAAACCTTTGAAATGTTGATGCCACCATGTTTTCATCGCCTTATTTTCTTCGTCTTATTTTCTTCGTAAAGTTGATGATCGAAACATCGCATAGCATGGTACAATGGATTGTGTTGCTCTACTGCTCTGCAATCCACAAGCAGCCCCGTAGCAGCCTATACAGCACAGGACATCTTAACTCCTTTGGTATGGTATCCCTATACCTCCCACCTGCAATCCTTGAAACAATAGTATACGTTTAAAAAACATATGTTTAGTTCAAATTGTTCATACCAACAAAGTGGCTAGTTTAAGTAATTTGCTTTGAGCATGTCGAAATGTTTTGCCAAGATTCAACTGATTTGCGTCGATACAAAGGATGGGGTGACATGCAAATGAGATGGATAATGTCGGATTCCCATTGGTCGATTCAAACTTCTCCCAGAGTTCGACACAGGAGCTACAGCGTGACCTTGGGACGCTCTCAGGGACGCTCGCAGCCAATCACAACCCGCCATTGTCCTAATTTGAATATGACCCGCCCCATGAAAATAAATTCCTCCCTCTTTCCATCTCTCCTGCTAGATTTAATAATCGATGGACGATAAATCGATCAACTTTTGACGACTCGATGAACCATTTTGGTATAAGAGTTGATCGTCGAGTCCGGTTCACCTCTTGTGAGGGGCGCTGGAACGTGTAAACCGCACGGCGCTTAACAGTCACCACGTGGTACCTTCCAACAACAACAGCCGCCATTTACCACTAAGTGGCGGTGACGTCAACACGGCGACCCTGCCAGGCCAAGTGCACTTTAAGGCCGCGTTAAGTGTCGAGAGCTTTCTGACAAGTCACGGGACAGACCCAGGTGCCATGTGTCGACTCACTGAGATGCCATCTTGCTCCACTTTATCCGCCCGGCGCTGCGTTCGTTGTTGTGAGCGTCGCTCCTCTGCCCTCCTTTGTTGTTGGAGGGCGACTGCCTCCAACTGAACAGTCATGTCCTTCACGACACAGGCACACACACACTCACACGGCCATTCATAGGGGGTGTGCTTTCATATTGAGATATTTTTATCACCACCATCAAATTCACTGCTGGATGATGGCTATCATTTTTTTGATGTGGGGGCGCGTGGTGACGGGATGGGGAGCAGGTGCAGTTCACGTAACCACTCGCCACTGATGTTAGCCGCGCATCCCCAAGCTGCACCATTACTCATCCTGCTCCACGGATATCTGTTAAAAGAGCTTTATAGCTCATCGGATTCTTTCAGGCTAAATAATCCTTCTGATGCTGAACTCAAATCGAAAACTCGGACCTAACACCGAATCGGCGAACCTCACCTGCCTATTCGTCCAGATCTTCAAAAATCCAATCAATGCCGGAGTTCGGCGTAATGGGTGTCGTCTGTGTGTGTACATCACAGTTACATGACATCCTCAACGAGTGGACGGCCAAGATGCACGCCATGATGTGTGGATATTTCCTTTGTGTGTGACTCTGTCGAGTATGTGTTACACGTACTGTATGTAGCAGGGCTCGTGAGGAGACAGAGAAAGTCACTGCAGATTACCACCTCCTATCTCAATCCCAGCTACAGAACTGTAGATACAATCTCATTTTGACATGCAAAGCAGCAATAAGTAACGTTTGCAATACGTAACCAATAGACAAATACCAAAAAATAACCTTACACTGCTGGGTGGACAGAGACTAGTGGATTCATGCAATGTACCCCTTTGTTTCAACTGCCGCACCGGGAAATTGAATCGAGAACTGGATTGCAAGTCGAGTGTGCTATTAAACCTGGCACCACAGCAGCTCCCTTCATTTCATGCAACCACACTGTTCATCAAAGCAAAGGAAAGGAGACAATGTCAAATACATTACAAAGTCATGGGAAACAGATATCTCGATCATTGTTATTGTGAAATGCAATATCGTGTCATATCGTGAATATTTGATATTGAGCAAGCAGAAGTTTCAAACAACATTGTGCAGTGACTCCAGCTGAGTCGCAGACATTATCTTGGGAGCAACACTATTTATTAAACAACAGCACGCAACATAACAGGATCTACACTCGGGTCTCGAATGCCCATCTAACCACGCTACGGCAGAACTAGACACGGTTCGCTATCCCGGTCCGGACCACAAGCTGGGTCCCGGACCGCGTGGCTAGAGGCTTCTTCTCCCCGACGTGGATCTTCGTATCACCAGCACACGCATAACATCGAGCTCCTCACGGGGCACCGGTTATATGCCCCTGGGCTGGAGCTGGCTCCGCCCTTCGACCCGCCCACCTTCCAGGTCTCTTGAGCTCTTTCTTGAAGATTCCCGAGAGCTCTAATGGACCACGTAACCGCCCTGTCCACCGGTAGCCTCCCTCCAATATCATCCTGTCACGTGTCAGCTGGTCAACCAGCATATCATGCCCCAACGTAACCGTGGCTGGCTGACGCTCCCTCTCGGCAAGCATAAGTTTCAAACAACAATGTAGAAGCGTGTAAAAAGCTATTGACTATTGTGCAAGATTCGAAAACCCTCACGAGTATTAAGTGAAGATGTACATTGTGGACCACTTGTCTTCGGTCACCGTCACAATAAACGTGACCAAATTTATCCGAATGACAGGCAGCAGTGATGCAGTGATATAGAACTGGTACGCAAGTACAAACGTGAACATAATTGTGAATAATAAACCACACTTAACGTCATGAAGTAATTTTGGAGCTTGATCCTATCACACAATTGCGTGGAGTGAAAACATGACGACCCCAAACCTAACAAAGTCCATCACTGTTAGATGTTACATGAGGGCATTACCATTGTATATATAACAGGCAATTAATTGGAGAGCACGCTGTAGGCTTGCAGAAAATGGATTGAGCCTTATGTAGAAAGTATTGAACGTTTATTTAAAAGCAAGCTGTAGGCTTATGTAAATTATGCAAAGACAAATATCCATCATATAGCATTAACACACTGTTGGGGCAAGTGCTTTTAGCGAGCACCTATAAAGGCCGGCACAGCACACCAGGAGTGGGTGGCCAGCAGCACGCCCGGCCGCCTTTGTCTACCTAGTAGCGATGTTTACACATTGCAGCAGTCGACATAGGAGAGTCTCAGGAACGGTTCAGATAATTGTCGCTGGTGTTGGTTGTGAGTGGGAATTGAATCCGGGTCGCTAGCTTCGTAGCGCAGCGCGCTAAACGCTAAACTAGAATTCCCCACAAATCACGCAAATACAAAGTCAAAGATCCTCCGTTTATCCTGTAACAGACTGTTAGCGAGCACCTTTGAAGGCCGGAACAGCACACGAGGGGGTGGCCAGCCAGCAGCAGGCCTGGCCGTATTTGTCTCCCCAGTGGCAATGGTCACACACCGTACCGGATACTCATTTGAGGTTGAGTCGATCTAGGTGAAGCCCAGGACCGGTTCAGATAATCGTCACTGGTCTTGGCCGTGAGCGGAAATCGAACTCGGGTCGCTGGGTTCGTAGCGCTGCACGGTAACCTCTACCCTACCGCTCCCCAAATAACACAGACACAATCACACATGTACAGTGACGCAAGAAGACACAAATGGACACAGGTGTAAATTACTCAAGATAGATATACATAGGAGGCATTGACTACAACTGCAAAAAACGTGGCAGGACCCTTCTGAAGAAGAGACATGAGACGCAGTGAGGCTTTCTTGGATAAACAAGCGTATTCGGAAGCCACTGGAGCTATGCACTTTTAAATGCAGATTGAAGTTTGCTGTCCTTCCCCCGCACCTGGGATTAGCACAGTTGGCTACGTACCGTGCGAAAGATGTTCAACATACATATGTAGTGGTCATTGTAACCTAACATGCCGTCAACACTACCGCCCTGATGTAGCGCCAGCTATGTACCAACAGGGGGCAACAGCGAGTCCGGTCTGTACCAGGCAAAGCCATGAAGCTCGGGAACCATGAGGGCGGTTGGGAACCGGAGGTACACACCCCAAGCCCCCAGTGGGGGCTGGGGGATTACGCAATAGTCCAGGTCCCTCAAGAAGGTTCTAGAGAGTAGGCGTTGCCAGGGGCAGAGTGAACCTGGCCACCATATATAAGTCGGACCTCTGAACAGCTTTGCTTGTCGTCGTCAAGCTGTAGACCCTAAGAGCCAGCTTAGAATCGGACCCTGGGAACCCCCGGACCCACTGTCCTTCATAGGACCGGAACTGAGAGGGCCAGTGGACGGACCCTGGGAACCCCCGGACCCGAAATCCTTCTTTGGGCTGGGACCGTGTGAGCCAGTGGCCAGGACCCGAGGACCTTGGCTGGGTCGGGTCAGGCTAGTGTCCCCTAGGGCCCCTAGCCAGAGGACTGAGATATAGAGTGGTCCCAGTGATAGAGAGCACGATAACCCGGAGGCTGTACCTCCCCAGGTATCGGGTGGAAGGGTCTGTTACCCCTTTGTGTTAAGGACCCTATACTGTTATTGTTATAAACAAAAGTGTTGCCTTCAGTGAAGACTGGGTCTCAATCATTACCACCACAACTGGCGTCAGAAGTGGCTGAAGACCTAACTAGATATGGAGACAAGGAGTCGTGCACGTACCTGGGCTCCGAACGACGATGCTGCACTTGCTCCTGGGGCGACTACACCGCCAAATGATGGAGAAGCCGCCCCAAAGGCTGACATTCAGCCTGCAAAGGCAACTATGAGCGCGCCACCTTCGGGGAAAGCACTGCGTGCAGGAAACACATGCTTCGCCGACCTCCTGCATGCCGCTGCTTCTATTCTTGATGAAATCCACCGAGGGGATCCGACAGCGGAAGAGGGAGGTGGGGGCATGCAAGCAGCGGCAATTCCCGCCACCGGTTCTTCAACTCCCGCCAAAGATTTTGAATTTACTGCCCAAGACGGTGACGCATCGTGTGGACAACGTCACTTCCGCCCACGGACGCGCTTCTGCTAGAAGCCATGTGCATCGCGGGAACGATATCACTT